TGGTCAAGGGCATGTACCTTGGTTGCAGGCACATCCCCAGTAGGGGGTGTGCAGGAGGCAGCTGCTCGATGTTTCTCTCTCATCGATGTTTCTAACTCTCTATCCCTCTCCCTTCCTTTCTGAAAAAAAATCAAGAAAATACAATTAAAAATAATAGGGAAGGAGCAAAGGGGAGGCCACATATAATAAGCAAGGTCATCTGGGCAGCCTCACCAGGAAGCTGCAACTTGACACTCCCCAGGGAGCCAGTCTATTCCCTGGAAATCACTGGGGAAGGGCTCCACAAAGGGAAGATGGCACATGTGCAGTGAAGTCGGGGTGACGTAGGGAAGGGGCCTGCCTGTCAGTCTAACCTGGGAACAAAGATCATTGGCTAAAAGGGTGCACCCCAATGCAGGCCCGTCAACATTGGGAATACAGAGTCACCAGACTAAGAACTCTCTCTCTCTGGTTGCTCTTGCTTACTCTCCTGTTTCTCCTTTGCTAGTGACCCGTGTTAGCGCACCATGCAGCCCCCACACACAATGGGCTGCAGTTGGGAACACAAGCTCACCCGCCAGGTGCTGGACGGGATGGGACTGTGCAAATATGGAGCAGGAACTCTGGGAATGGCTGCAATCCTGGTTCTGCTGAAGACAAAATGGGACTTTTTCATGGCAGGACAGAGGGAGAGGGGCCCTTGGAAACTCAGGGGTTTGGTTCCACAGAAATAAAGCTTCCCCAGAACCTCATCCTCCTGTGGGGCCTCAGGAAATGTTTGTTCCCCGGGCACCCTGAGCCCCCCTCCACCAGCAGCAGAGGGAGACACGGAGAGCACCCCACTGATCACACAGCCAGGACAGAGTAAATGTTATGATCATCATCATGTTTTAATAACCTGCTTTCAAAGAGGGTCTGTGCACTGTTTTTGTCCTGAGCAAGCGTTCTTTCCCCACCCTCTCTTCCAGATCAGAGACTCAGCTGTAATGAAGACCTATCAGGTGCCTTTATTCTGTGGTTTTCAGCTGGGAGTGCCAAGGGTAAGTGGAGGGAGTTGATAAAAGCCAGGGCCCCGGGGCTCCTTAGGAGAGAGGCTGAGAGCCTGCAGGGCGGTCCTCACCCAGAGAAGGATGTGATGCTGGAGGACACAGGTGGGGGTACGCACTCAGGGCAAGGTAAGGCCTGAACTGGGAAATCTGTGGGAGGGAGAGAATGGGAATCAGTGAGCCTCTCAGCTGCGTAGCAAAGGCCTCTTACAGTGTCTCCTGCTTCTCTCTGGGAATGTGATCTAAGAGATTCCAAAAGACAGGTTGATAGGGAACCCAGGTTTGGCTGCCTGCCCCTGGAAAGCCCATAATGGAGAGGCTGGGGCTGGTGGAGGGAAGGTAGTTCCTGCTAGACCCCGCAGCGTGAGAAGATGGTGGACTCATGCTGCACAGACCACCTTAACGACTGGACATGGGCAGGGGGCTTGTAAGGGGGGGAATGAAGTGGTGGGTGGGGGAACCAGAACAAAGGGAACAAAAGGAGGAGGTTGAGGGTTCTCCATTGAGGGGACTAGTGGAAGCCAACACAGTCTGTGCAGGTTACTGGTTGAAGGTCAGCAAACCTCCTGGAGCAGGAATGTCTGAAGGATGGAGTCTGCTTCTTTTTAAGTTAGTTGCTGGAATTCTGAAGCAAACAGGTGGTTTATGTGCAGCCACATACTAGTGAGAGGTCATCGTTTACAGAAATAATGTTAAAAGAACGGTGGGGTAGGTTACAAGGTGTGTGTCTTAAAGATGCAGAGGTAATGATGTTCATTACAGAATTATTTGTAATATAGAAAAATCTGGAACAGCAGACATGTACAAGAGTTAGAGAATGGATAAACAGCACGTTGTCTGACAGTAGAGGGGTTTGCAATCCATAAGTCTGTTGGCCATCTGTACCTCCTCTTTGGAAAAATGTCTATTCAGACTCTTTGCCCATTTTAAAAAATGAATTATTTGGTGTGTTGGTGATAAGTTGTAAGAGTTCTTTATAAATTTTGGATATTAATCCTTATGGGACGTATCATTGGCAAATATCTTCTTCCATTCTGTAGGTTGTCTTTTTGTTTTATTGATGGTTTCCTTTGCTGTGCAAAAACGTTTTAGTTTGACATGATCTCATGTTTATTTTTCTTCTGTTGCCTTTGCCCAAGGAAACGTGTCTAAAAGGACATTACTAAGGGCAATGTCAGAGAATTCACTGCCCATGTTTTCTTCTAGTTTTATAGTTTCAGGTCACAATTATATCCTTAATCCATTTTGTGTTCATTCTTGTATAAGGTGTAAGAAAGTGATCCAGTACATTCCTTTGCGTGTATCTGTCCAGTGTTCCCAACACCATTTTGAAGAGACTGTCTTTACCCCATCATACATTCTTGCCTCTTCTGTCACAGATTAATTGACCATATGAATGAGAGTTCCTTTCTAGGCTTTCTGTTTTGTCCCATTGAACTATGTTTCTGTTTTCATGTCAGTCCCATGCTGTTTTTATTCATGTAGCCTTGTAGTATAGTTTATATCAGGGAGGGTGATACCCCCAGCTTTGTTCTTTCTCAAGATTTCTTTGCTTAGCCGAAACAGGTTTGGCTCGGTGGATACTGAAAGGTCCCAGGTTCGATTCCGGTCAAGGGCATGTACCTGGGTTGCGGGCACATCCCCGGTGGGAGATGTGCAGGAGGCAGCTGATCAATGTTTCTCTCTCATCGATGTTTCTAACTCTCTATCTCTTTCCCTTCCTCTCTGTGAAAAATCAATAAAAAAAAGAAATTTAAAAAGAAAAGATTTCTTTGCTTATTCGCGGTCTTTCTGGTTCCATATAAATTTTAGAGTTCGTTGTTCTACTTCTGAGAAGGAGGCCATTGGTGTTTTAAAAAGGATTGCATTGAATGTGGATATTGCTGTAGGCAGTAAGGACATTTTAACAATATTAATCCTTCCAACCCATGAGCATGTATATCCTATCCTTCCATTTATTTGTATCCTCTTCAATTTCTGTCTTCAGTGTCTTATAGTTTTCAGACTCTAGGTCTTTCACCTCTTTGGTTAAATTTATTCCTAGGTATTTTATGCTTTGTGGGTAAACTTGTAAATGAAGTTTTTTAATTTTCTCCTTCTGATTATTCAGTATTGCTGAATAGAAATGCAACAGGTTTCTGATTTTCTATCCTGCAACCTTAGTAAATTTATTGATTGGTCCTAATCATTTTTGTTTTTGTTTTCTTTGGTGGAGCCCTCAGGTTTTCTATATATTGCATCACATCCTCTGCAAATAGTGAGAGTTCTACTTTTTCTTTTCTGATTTGTATGCTTTTAATTCCTTTGTCTTGTCTGACTGCTGTGGCCAGGACTTCCAATACTGTGGGAGCACAAGAGGTGAGAGTGGGCGTCCTTGTCTTATTCCTGACCTTACAGGAAAGGCTTTCAACTTTTCACCATTTTTAAAAAATATATCTTATTGATTTTTTACAGAGAGGAAGGGAGAGAGATAGAGAGCCAGAAACATCGATGAGAGAGAAACATCGGTCAGCTGCCTCCCACACATCTCCCACTGGGGATGTGCCCGCAACCCAGGCACATGCCCCTGTTGCCTGGGTGCCCCTGACCGGAACCGAACCCGGGACTCCTCAGTCCGCAGGCCGACGCTCCATCCACTGAGCTAAACCGGTTTCGGCCAACTTTTCACCATTGAGTATTATCTTATCTTAGGAATCATGTGTTTATTTTGTTTATAATTATAACAAACTTGGATCCAATATGGGTATTTAAATTGTCTATATTTTGTTATTATAGATTTTACTATGATGAGCAGAATTAAACATAAAACATTTTGTTAATGCCTGGTTTTCTTTTTCTTTAAGAGTAATTTTTGTAAGTGGAATTTGTGGGTCAAAGAATAAAACATTCTTAAGTCGTCTGGTATATATCCCCCAGATGTATACATACCTTTGAATAATTATCAAGGCAGTGTTTATTAAAATATATTTAATTTTCCTTTTTTTTTACTCTTCACTGGAGGATTTTTTTTTCCCATTTGTTTTTAGGGAGAGTGGAAGACAGAGAGAAGGACAGAGAAAAATCAATGTGAGAGAAAGACATCGATTGTTTGCCTCATGCATTTGCTCGGACCGGGGAGGAGACTGCAATCAGGGTATGTGCCCTTGAAGGGAATTAAAACTGGGACCCTTCAGTCCATAGGTCAATGCTCTATCCACTGAGCCAAACTGGCTAGGGCAAAATACATTTAATTTTCAAAATTGAGCTATCAACTGTTAAAGTGTATACATATTTCTTTGAGACACCCTATAAAATATATAACCCAAGTAGTACACTGAGAAATCCTATATAATAAAAGCCTAATATGCTAAGTGTCCAGTCATCCATTCAACCAATCAAAGCATAATATGCTAATGATATGCTAGGGCCGCTCAACCGCTCACAATAACATGCACTGTCCACTAGGGGGCAGATGCTCCGACTGGTAGCTTAGCTTACTGCTGAGATCTGGCCAATCAGGACTGAGCAAGACGGGCCAGACATGCCCTGGAGCCCTTCCAGGGTCCCTCCCCAGCTGGCCAACTTCCTGTATCCCTCCCTGGCCCTGATCATGCACTGGTGGGGTCCCTCGGGCTGGCCTGCACCCTCTCACAATCCGGGACCCCTCGGGGGATGTCAGAGTGCCAGTTTCAGCCCAATCCAGCAGGCCAGGCCTAGGGACAACACTGGTGCACAAATTCATGCACCGATCCTAGGGACCCCACTGGTGCATGAATTCATGCACGGGGCCTCTGCACAGTCAGGGCTCTATCCACTGAGCCAATGCTCTATCCACCGTGCATCTATTCTGCCCGGTGCACGAAATTCGTGCACGGGCGAGGAGGTGTTCCTCAGCCCGGCCTGCACCTTCTCCAATCTGGGACCCCTCGAAGGATGTCTTACTGCCAGTTTACAGGGATCGGGCCTAAACCAGCAGTCGGACATCCCTCTCGCAATCCGGGACTGCTGGTTCCTAACTGCTCCCCTGTCTGCCTGCCTGCCTGATTGCCCCTAACCACTCTGCCTGCTGGCTTGCTCGCCCCCAACTGCCCCCCGCTGCCAGCCTGCTTGCCCCCCATGCCAGCCTGATCACCCTCAACTGCCCCCCCCCCCCGCCGCTGTCCTGATCACCTCCAACTGACCCCCAATGATGGCCTGCTTACCCCCAACGGCCCCGCCCCCACCAGCCTGATCACCCACAACTGCCCTCCCCTCTTGGCCTTTAACCATCTCTACCTCGGCCCCGAAACCATAGCTTTGTCCAGAAGAACGTCCAGAAGGTCTCCTGGAAGGTTTCTCAGTCTAATTAGCATATTGCCCTTTTATTAGTATAAATAATCTGCAAAATAGGTCCAGAAATATTTACATTCATATGAAGCAAAGTATAGCATTAACACTGTAAATTATATAAATTTTATTTTTATGAGTCTTTTCATTTTAAAATCAGTTATAACAAGGAATAAAATGCAATAACCATACCTGAAAATATATTCCTCTCTCTGAGATCTTAAAATTTCAAACATTCAGATAACTTAGAAAGTGCAGGGAGCAGAGGACTCCAGGTCCTGCTCTGAGTGCAGTGGGAGCCCTGGAGGCTGAGGAGAGATGTGAAGTGAGGGAGGCAGGAGCATTCGGGTAGCAGAGACTGAGGGGCCCCAGTGGAATCGAGGCTCAGAGAGAGGGGACCTGCGTTAATCAGAGTGAGATGCTGGAGGCGCGGACAGGCTGTCCAGGAAGTGTGGGCAAGTGGAAGCTTGTGAGCCCATTGGACACAGAGCCCAGGACTCCCAGGTGTCCAGGGCCAAGGGACGGACACTTCAGGTTACAGACTTTAGGGTGGTTTTCCATGTTGGAGTCAAAGGTGAAGAGACTCCCAAGCAGGCATTTCAGAGGAGGCTCTGGGGTCACCAGTGATGGTGGCTGCACCGGGACTCGGCCCTGGGGAGGCAGAGGTCTCATGTGGATTCTCCATCTTC